TCATTGCCCTCAAAGACTTAATATTTGACTAATCAGATTTTTAAAAAATAAAAGTGGATTGATTTTTTGATGAAAGCATTGATCTTAGTCCACAGTTTAGAAGCCAAAGGGTGTGTTGTATGATGCCCTTTAGTTGGTGTATTTTCTTTTTTCGTGAACTCAGTTATTCATGTCTTTACCAGGTATTTAATGAGCATGTACCAGGCAGTGTGCTAGAAACTAGCAGTACGGTGCTGAGCTAGACACAGTGCCTACCATTGTCCAGTTCATAACCTAGTATATATTTAAAATATCTGTGTCTCTGGATGATAAGAATTACTCCCCCTGGGTGTTAGGTCTTGGGACGTGTTGTTGTTAGACCAAATTACTGGCTTTGTATTTTAGAAATTAGTTAATTAATTTAAAAAGCATTTGAAAAAAAAAAAAAGCAAAAAAAAAAGCATTTGAATCCTGATTCTAACCACTACCTAGGAATGTGACCTTGAGCAAATTATTTAATCCCCTTACACCACCATTTCCTCTTTGTAAAGTAAGAGTATAAATATTTCATAGGGTAATTCATGATTAAGTGAGATAGTGCATGTCATATGCTTAGCCCCATACTTGGCACCTAGGAAGAGCTTAATAAAATGGTTGCTGCTGTTTCCTTATTAATACAAGAGCTAAACCTCATCTTGGAGGTGAGATGGAGGTGACATCTAAGAATAGCTTTATATGTAGGTTTCTAATAATTGGAGAGAGCTTTTGCCAAAGCTTTGGAGTTTGTTTGTTATAATTTCTACCCTGCTGATTTCCAGAAAGGATTTGAAATAGCTGCCCAGCTGAGAAGTGTGTTCCAGTTGTGAGGTAATGGAGAAAACCCTGACCCAGAACTGACATGCACTTAGGGCTAGGTCCACTCCTCCAGCCAGCTGGCTGATCTTGGGCGACCCTGAAGTCCAGGCTTTCCCGTATCACATTCTTTGCCTTGTTTATTAATTAGCAAATGGTCAATTTTAGATAATGACCTTAAGTTTCTGAGAATTTGTGTATATCTCTGGAGTTTCATAAGTTGTAAATTATATTCTAAAAGCAGAAATATATAACTTGAATTTAATCTTGCTCCTGAATAAAATAACCACCACTTTCCAGAGAGTAATCATTAATATAAATGACTTAATATATAGTCCATTCATAGTCTTTCCTTTGCTGAATTCATTTCAGAGCCCCTAATATATTGTTAACATTACATTTACCTTGATACTTGTTTTGGTGAAGAGTGTTCTTAGAAAAGGTACTGAAGTCCTAAGTTCTAAAACCTTGACTTTCTCACATGTCTGTCATGTATTTGGAACACATTTGCAAGGCACTAAGTCAGTTCTAACTGATAGAGACAGAATATCAGGCTTCATGAGAAGTTTTTTCTTGTCATTGTTGCTGTTGTATTTGTTTTTGCATGGTGGGGTGGGAATGCAATTTTTTTTTTTTTTTGGAATGCTTTTTAACTTACGGATCATTAGGGCCACTTGGATTATTAAATGGAGATAAAATAAGGAGATAAAAGATTTTAAATAGAAGAATGTATTTCTAGGAGATGAGAAAGGTTAATAAACCCATGCAAATGTGTTCTACTTGCAAGTTTCTGTTTGTATAAGCTCTTTATTATTTTGTGAAAAGTTTACAGAATTTTATTCAACTTTCCTTTGTAATTTATAGAAAAAATAGGTCCTGTATCTCACAGAGTTACAGATCTTAGTTCTTATCTGATATTTGGTGGCGATGAATGTTGTATTTTCTATTGTTGCTGTTACAGTTGTCCCTTTGCATCCATGGATTCAACCAACCATGGATAGGAAATATTGGGGGGGGGATTTCCAGAACGTTCCAAAAAACAAAATTTGAATTTACCATGCTCCAGCAACTAATTACATAGCATTTACATTGTAATAGATATTATAAGTAATCTGAAGATGATTTAAAGTATAAGGGACTTGAGCATTGGGGGATTTTGGTACCCTCCTGGGGCAGGGTGGGGTTGAGGGGTGGTCCTGGAATCAGTCCCCCTCAAATATTGAGGGACGACTATAGATAGTTTTTAAAAATAATTACAAGCTACAGATTTGTTTTAAGTTTAATTGTTTTGTGATGTCAAAACATAGGCAACTAGTAGAATGGGAGAAAATATTTGTAAATCATATATCTGCTAAGGGATTAATATCTAGACTATGTAAAGAATTACAACTCAATAGCAACAACAAAAAACCCAATTCAAAAATAGGCAGAGAGGGTTTCTCTGGTGGCACAGTGGTTAAGAATCCACTTGCCAATGCAAGGGACACGGTCCGAGCCCTGGTCCGGGAAGATCCCACACGCCGTGTGCAACTAAGCCCATGCGCCACAACTACTGAGCCTACACTCTAGAGCCCGCATATTAGATATTAGGCAGAAGACTTGAATAGACATTTCTCCAAAGAAGATATACCTGTAAGCACATGAAAAGATGCTTATCATTAGTCATTAGGGAATTGCATATCAAAAGCACAGCAAGATACCACATCATGCCTATTAGGATGTGACTATTACAAAAAGAAAATTTAAAAAGGTAAATAAAAGTTGGTGAGGGTGTGGAGAAATTGGAATTCTCATGCATTGCTGACCGGAATGTAAATGGTAGAACTGCTGTAAAAACCAGTTTGGTGGTTCCTCGAAAAGTTAAACATAGAATTATCATATGATCTAGCAATTCCACTCCTAGGTATTTACCCAGAGAATTGAAAGTAGGGACTCGGGTACCTGTACACCAATGTTCATAGCAGCATTATTCACAGTAGCCAAAACGGGGAAACAACCAGTGTCCATTAGCTGATGAATGAATAAACAAAATGTGGTATATAAATGGAATGGAATGTATTGGGTTGGCCTAAAAGTTTGTTCAGTTTTCCCATAAGACAGCTCTAGTAACACTGAGTTGTCTTTAAGTTCATTAGAAACAATTTTGTTAGATTGTATTGTGACAGCTGTCATATTAGTGTGCATTTAAAAAAAAAAATCAAAATCGGTGAGTTTTTGTGTAGCCTTTTAATATTGAAGATGGAAGAAAAAAGCAACATTTTTGGCACATTATGCTTTATCATTTCAAGAAAGGTAAAAACGCAACTGAAACGAAGAAAAGATTTGTGCAGTGTATGGAGGAGGTTCTGTGACTGATTGAACGTGTCAAAAGTGGTTTGCGAAGTTTTGTGCTGGAGGTTTCTTGCTGGACAATGCTGCACGGTTGGGTAGACCAGTTGAAGTTGATAGCGGCCAAATCGAGAACTTATTGAGAACAATCAACGTTACATCACTTGGGAGATAGCTGACATACTCAAAATATCCAAATCAAGCGTTGAAAATCATTTGCACCAGCTTGGTTGTGTGAATCGCTTTGATGTTTGGGTTCCGCATAAGTTAAAGAGAATAAAACCTTCTTGAAGGTATCTCTGCAAGTGATTCTCTACTCACATGTAGTGAAAACATTCCATTTTTAAAACAAATGGTGATGGGTGATTAAAAGTGGATACTGGGGCTTCCCTGGTGGCGCAGTGGTTGAGAGTCCGCCTGCCGATGCGGGGGACACGGGTTCGTGCCCCTGTCCGGGAAGATCCCACGTGCCGCGGAGCGGCTGGGCCCATGAGCCATGGCCACTGAGCCTGCGCGTCTGGAGCCTGTGCTCTGCAACGGGAGGGGCCCCAGCAGTGAAAAAAAAAAAAAAAAAAAAAAAGTGGATACTGTACAATAATGTGGAATGGAAGAGATCGTGGGGCAAGCGAAATGAACCACCACCAACCACAGCAAAGGCTGGTCTTCATCCAAAGAAGGTTGTGTATATGGTGGGATTGCAAGGTAGTCCTCTATTATGAGTGCCTTCTGGAAAACCCAACGATTAATTCCAACAAGTACTGCTCCCAGTTAGACCAACTGAAAGCAGCACTTGACGAAAAGCTTCCAGAATTAGTCAACAAAATGCATGATCTTCCATCACAATAATGCAAAACATGTTTCTTTGATGACCAGGCAAAAACTGTTACAGCTTAGCTGGGAAGTTCTGATTCATCCGCTGTATTTACCAGACGTTACACCTTCGGATTTCCATTTATTTCGGTCTTTACAAAATTCTCTTAATGGAAAAAATTTCCATTCCCTGGAAGACTGTAAAAGGCACCTGGAACAGTTCTTTGCTCAAAAAGATAAAAAGTTTTGGGAAGATGGAATTATGAAGTTGCCTGAAAAATGGCAGAAGTAGTGGAGCAAAACGGTGAATACGTTGTTCAGTAAAGTTCTTGGTGAAAATGAAAAATGTGTCTTTAATTTATACTTAAAAGCCAAAGGAACTTTTTGGCCAACCCAATATTTGGCCATTAAAAAGCTATGCAATTCTGATGCATGCAACAATAACATGGATAAACCTTAAAGACGTTATGCTAAGTGAAATAAACCAGACACAAAAGGACAAATACTGTATGATTCTACTTATATAAGGTACCTAGAATAGGCAAATTCATAGAGACAGAAAGTAGAATAGAGGTTACCGGGGGCTGAGGGGGAGAGGAAAGTGGGGAGTTATTGTTTAATGGGTACAGAGTTTCTGTTAGGAAAATGAAACAGTTCTAAAATGGATAGTGGGGATGGTTGCACAACATTGTGAGTGTACTTATGCTTCTGAACTGAAAATGGTTAAAATAGTAATTTTTTATGTTATGTATATATTTTACCATAATAAAAACATTAAAACAAAACAAAAAAAGAAACCAACTAAACAATAGCAACCATACAGACAGATTTACACAGTTATATCTTTTCAGTATCTTTTCTCCACTGATTTTTACTCATTTTTATGGGCATCTCAAAATTGTATGGGTACTTATTAGAATTTTAGGATTGATTGCCATTAGGTTTGTATTGCCTTTGAATTACAAATGGTATGGGGTTTTTAATGCTATTTTTATGGCAAAGATTTTTAATGAATCTCCTTTGTTTTGCAGTTACTTCGAGAGCTTAAGCATCCAAATGTCATCTCTCTTCAGAAGGTGTTTCTGTCTCATGCTGATAGGAAAGTATGGCTTCTGTTTGACTACGCTGAACATGACCTCTGGGTAAGGTGAATTGTTGGTGGACATGGAGCCATGGTTTCAGTTGGGGATTAAGAGGGACTGACTGAAAACAATTTTGGGAGCTCATCTTCGTATGAGATTTACATTTTTTTTTTTTTCTCGGTACGCGGGCCTCTCACTGTTGTGGCCTCTCCCTTTGCGGAGCACAGGCTCTGGACGCGCAGGCTCAGTGGCCATGGCTCACGGGCCCAGCCGCTCTGCGGCATGTGGGATTTTCCCGGACCGGGGCATGAACCCGCGTCCCCTGCATCAGCAGGCGGACTCTCAACCACTGTGCCACCAGGGAAGCCGTCAGCAGATTATTTTTAAAATATGATTTACAGAAGCCTTAAGGAACTATAAAATGTACTCCTTTATTAAATATAACAGCTAGATTTTTTTAAAAAACCTGAAAGGCCATCTTGGGGGTAAGATTAATGATATATATAGATGAAAATCTATAATAGGATAGCCCAAATCATTTTGAAACATACAAAACTTATATCCTGATCAGTCTTGGGTCAAGAACATGTTAACACAGATTTCAGTTTAAAAAACAAAACAAGTAAACAAAACCCAGTATTACGTCAAGTTAATTCATTAGCAACTACTTCAGTGCTGTGAGATATATTTTTCTGATATTTACCAAGTAATAAGGTCCTTAAATATTTCACTGTGTTTTGCATCCTATCTATATTTACTAAATTAGCGTGACTGTGCATTTATTGAGCTAAATAAAAGAGAAAACATATGCAAGGGATTATAGTATCCTGGCTCAATTTCAAAATCTTCAAAATAATTTATTCTTTCATTCAGCTGCAGTTCGTAAATGCAAATACAAAATTTTGAAATAAAACTAGCACAAATCCTAGTAAAACTGTTTAAAAGTAAATTCACCTCCTGAAAATAGTTAAATAGTTTTAAACTCTTTTACTAATTTCCAGAAGTATCCTCATTTACATAATTTTAACTTTAACAGACTTCAGAAACTGAAACTTATTTTGGTGTCATATGCTTTCAGATTTAGAAAAAAATATTTTCATAATGTTTGTAGATTCCTGTTTTCCATGACTAAATGCGGTTTGATTCAAATTATTTTTGTAAGTTATCTGGAAAGAACTGTTTTCAGACAGAAAATAGACACTTGAAATTTTCTCTCTGTTTTATGAAACTATTGTCCAAGATTCATACTGGTTGTAAATATTTTTTTTTATTGGCTTCTGTTCTTTTAAAAGAGATCTAATCTAATCGAATTAGGATTCTGTTAATAAAAATTCATTAAATCAGGGTGGCTGGTATTGAATTGAACATTCATCATACTGAAATCTAACATAAAATCAAATTATGTAATCCAAATTTATGAGAAAATTTCCAGGCTGGTTTATAAACGTGATTTGTAATAAAACATAGTTGAGCATAGGAGATCACATTGTATTCACTATGGTTTCTCACAAACTGGTATGTAATATTTAATTTTATATGTAGGTGTAATTATGCTTTCACAAATTATACTGCATGTAATGTGCATATAGTCACCATTGGCTTTATCATCATCTTATTAATACTCACTTAAGCCAAATAAGTACTTTAAATGCTCATTTTAATAAAAACCGAATGGTGATTCAATTTTATTAAAACCTATTCTTTATCCATTTTATTTTCTTATTTTAATTTGAATATTGAAATGAATTAGATGGGGTAAGGCAGCAGAGGGTAAGAAAACAGTTGCAGTAAAAAGAGTCATTTAAAAAAATCACTTAGGTGTTGGTGACATCTTATGGTACACATATGGCATATTTGTTATATTGCCCTGGAATAAAAATGAAGGTAAAAAATTCTCTTACTGTAGTTTTTTGTAGTTATAAAATATTGGTAAAAAAAGTAATATGTAATACCCTAATGAAAATATAACTAAAGAAGTGGTATATGGCATCAGTTGATTATCTTACCTCCCTAAATATTTGTTCCTTTCATTCTTACTCTGGCAGGTTTTAATTTTTTAAAATGTATTTTAATCTTTTCTTTTTTTTTTTTTTTTTTTTGTGGTACGCGGGCCCCTCACTGCTGTGGCCTCTCCCGTTGTGGAGCACAGGCTCCGGACGCGCAGGCTTAGCGGCCATGGCTCTTGGGCCCAGCCGCTCCGCAGCATGTGGGATCCTCCCAGACCGGGGCACGAACCCGCATCCCCTGCATCGGCAGGTGGACTCTCAACCACTGCGCCACCAGGGAAGCCCAATCTTTTCTTTTTCTAAGCTCTGAGGGCCACTGGTTTTTCTTAAGGTGAACAGACTTGATTGTCACATCATTTCTTAGGATAGGTGACAAACAGTCTAGATTATTAAGAGTTATTGTAGCTCTGTTTTGTTTGCCTTTTCTTAAATACTTTAAAAAAATTACTGAGAAGGAAGTTCACATAATGTAATGCTGCTACGAAAGTATAGATTAATCATACTACATATGTACTGACTGATACCCCTTACCTTCTGAAATTTTCTTTGGAAGATAAAACTCCTTCACTCATTAGTCATTAGTTATTTCTTACCCATTTTCTACCTCTATATCATAAGAAAGTAGAAATGAAAAGATTAATGTATAATATTAAATATCTCACTCTTTTAATTATTTTTATTAAGTTCAAGAATACGCCTGATATTCCCTCACAAATACTGGTCAGGAGTCTGCTCTTGCACATATTAGACACAGGCATGTGCACAGTGGTGCACACAGCAGAGTTGGCTGCAGCTGACTTGTAGATTTTCTTGTAGTTTAAGAGTGCTTTAATTAAAATGAGACCTGTCAAGAGTTTGAAACATTGGATCTTGTTTCTGTTGAGGTACATTTATTTGTAAAATGATTTTTCTGTTTATAAAGTGGTATTGTGTTTACCGGATGTCCACTAACATTATACTGATACCTAGAAAGCTTTGATGGATGTTGCAAGGCTGTTTTTTTTTTTCCTCGTCTGAAGGAGCTTTCATATTTCTAATTATGTCCAGTGTGAATTGGTCATCTACGTGTTATTCCTTTGTGCTTGTGTGTACTTAATTGAAATATTTTCCCATTTGCTTTCTTTATAACTCATGTATTGTAAGTAGGTACCACATCTATGCTATGTCAACCAGCCAGAACTCTGTTCTTTTTTTTTTTTTTTCATTTAATCACTGCAGAATAAAAAATACTCTTTTCTTGAAAATTTTCACCAGATAAACGGGGGTCAAGTAACTCTGAAAGTAATTTTTAATTATACTTTAAAAATAAAATCACATTACTTCTCTGTTGTCATCATTTATTTTCTGAGACTGTATCATATGCTTAGGAAATGACATTTTAGCTCTAGTTATTTGGAAAATTTAAGGTTATTTATGTTATCCAGCAGAACGTGAAATTATATTTTCAAATCTTTGGAAATCCCTGAGTGTTTATCTGTTAGGAAAATATTATATATCACACTATCTTTCCTTTTTTAAGCTTCTGGTGATATTTTTCTTTCTTTCAGCATATAATCAAGTTTCACAGAGCTTCTAAAGCAAACAAGAAGCCAGTACAGTTACCTCGGGGAATGGTGAAGTCACTATTGTATCAGATCCTAGATGGGATTCACTACCTGCATGCTAACTGGGTGTTGCACAGGGATTTGGTAAGTTGAAATGTAGTTAGGTTTAAGCCAGAAAGATGCATTTGGAGTTGGATGATTTTTTAGTTTTCTCTAGATATCAGTGCTATACAGGCCTGCAAACCTTATAGAGGAAGTGGGAATGCTAGTCTCAAAACTAGCCTAGCCTTGTGCTTTTGTGTAATGCATCCTGCTTCTTGACATACATTAAGCTGGTGCTTAAGAGGTGAAAGAGGGCACATTTGTTTTGCTAAGCTTTCGGGGGTTTTTTCAAGTCTGTAAATAACGTATTGGCCTGCTTTACATTGAATATTATATGCCAGACAAACTCTAGAAGTTGGTATATTTATGACTAACTTGAAAATAGCCCTTTGGAGCCTACTGTATCCTAAGTTGTATATTAGAAGAGGAGCATTCATCTGCTTATTTTTAAACCCACTATGTTAGTAGCAGTCTCTCTGCCAACAGCCTTTAATAATCATGATTGAGTACATTATTGAGTGCCTTGTCATGTTAAGCTGCAATAAATTTTTATGAATTTAGAAACTTCAGAAACTGACTTTATTTTTATTTCACATGGCAGAATAGTTTATGCCCTTTTTAAAAAAAACCCATATAGCATTAAATTGGTGATTAAATGGTGCATTGTTCATTAAATCTTCACAGATTTGAATTATGTAAATCTCAAATTCCCCTTTTCCCCTTTCATATTGCATAATGTAGTAACTCTAGTAAGGTGTGCCTTCATTTCAAACAGTTATAAACACAATGCTGGAAGTGATGACTTGGTCTCTAGTCACATGTGTACATTAGGAAAAAACCCCATCGCCAACTTAGAGGTGGAGCTGCTCTGCCCCTCACGCAGATATTCTTTCCAGGCTGCTCTGTGTTTAATGCATTCAGTCTCTGGTCTTCAGTCAGGTGTTTTAGTTTCTAGTTCTTTCATCTGTCTTCACTAAATCTCCTTGAAATAAGTTTAGTGGTAGTTATTTTATCTCCAATTGTCAAATCTAGAGACCATTTAGAGTAGGACCAATAACACATCAGAAATTTGGTTGAAATAACTTTTTCCCTTATGCAGAAAATTTTCCTTTATTTTTAATAGAATTAGGTTATTTTATTTATAAACAATGAATTTATAGAACATAAATGTGAAAAATCCTTTGTCACGGGCTTCCCTGGTGGCGCAGTGGTTGAGAGTCCGCCTGCCGACACAGGGGACACGGGTTCGTGCCCCGGTCCGGGAAGATCCCACATGCTGCGGAATGGCTGGGCCCGTGAGCCATGGCCGCTGGGCCTGCGCATCCGGAGCCTGTGCTCTGCAACAGGAGAGGCCACAGCAGTGAGAGGCCCGCGTATCGCAAAAAAAAAAATAATAATAATCCTTTGTTTCTCTATGAAGCTGAAAATAAATTTCAGCTTTTAGGGGTAGAGTCAACTTAGGGAAAAACTATTACTACTTTTGAATTACTGACCATTTTTATGATTCTAAAAGAATAGAATCTGGTTTTTCCCCATAGAGTTAATTATGCTACGATAACGCTACATTTTCTTTCTAATGTAAGTATTTTCTCATCACTAAAATATGTATGTTCATTAGATGAATACAAACTGATTTTTAAACCAGTATTTAATTTTTATGTTAATGTATAATATACCTGAACTACTCACATTAGTATTAACTACAGTAGTGAAAATAATTTCAAAGTCTGATTTCTTTTGTGTCTCTCTTGGGAGAGCTCTTTGTATTGATACGGCCAGAACAAGTTGTCTTTGGCACAGAGACAGTATAGAGCAGGTCATCTCAGAAGTCTCTGTTGGTGGTGTACCAGGAGACAGATGCAGTGGAGCAGTGCACTTAGGTGCAGGTGACAGAGGGATGCACTGTCTGTAGCTGATTTAAAAATAATAATGAAACAGACAAAAAGTAGTTACTTTTTAAAAATTTATTTATTAATTATTCTTGGCTGCGTTGGTTCTTTGTTGCTGCCCACGGGCTTCCTCTAGTTGCCGTGAGCGGGGGCTACTCTTTGTTGCTCTGCGTGGGCTTCTCATTGCAGTGGCTTGTCTGGTTGCAGAGCACGGGCTCTAGGTGCGTGGGCTTCAGTAGTTGTGGCACGCGGGCTCAGTAGTTGTGGCTTGTGGGGTCTAGAGCGCAGGCTCAGTAGCTGTGGCGCACGGGCTTAGTTGCTGTGCGGCATGTGGGATCTTCCCAGACCAGGGCTCGAACCCGTGTCCCCTGCATTGGCAGGCGGATTCTTAACCACTGCGCCACCAGGGAGGCCCGTTACTTTTTATTGTTACCGTATGCTGGCCATTCTGAACAGTATCAGTGATAAAATATTCCTGTTCACTGAGGCAAACTGCTCCTACTCCTGTGCCCCTCTTGATATGCCACTGCTCTCTGTTTAAAAGTGTGTTCATCCAAAATATTTTGTAAAATGTAAGCGGTTGTTTTTCTTCTGCTGCCTCCTTTGGCTTTCCCATCTGAAGTGTGATTTCCTATACTGTCTGTGCGTGACTTCTTAGTGATCTTTCCAAACTCCTGACCCTTCTGTGCATCACAGGCACACTGCACCATCGTCTCCTTAAAACGATAACCTCTGTCCCAGGCTGGATCTTACTGTGTCAGGTATCTGCCTCTTGAATTATTCTTCAGTTCTTGAAGGAAAGATTCATTATCATAGTTTTTTAAAAAATATGTGCCTACCTTCCTGCCAGCTGGAAATTAAATTTTGGAGTTTGATATTATATAGTTTTTCAACGATAGCTACATAAGATATTCATATATGGAGTAATCAAGTATTTACTCTGAAGAACATTCTTTAGAAGCTGTATGCTATGCCTTTTTTTTAACCCCTTCTCAAATAGTTGTTATGATTTGCGGATGAGCTATTTACCCTATGAGAATGAATATAATTGCGAGTTAATTATATTCTTTGCTCCTTTCAGTCAGGTTTAGATGAAATGAGGTGATACCAACCTTAATAGATCTGCGTAGATATTTGTTTGTTTGTTTATTTATTTATTTATTGGCCGTGCCACATGGCTTTCAGGATCTTAGTTACCCAAGCAGGGATCAAACCTGTGCCCCCTGCAGTGGAAATGTGGAGTCCTAACCACTGGGACCACCAGGGAATTCCCTACATAGATTTCTAATGTTAATAATTGAACCAACTGGTTAAGTTGCTGACTTGCCACAAGAAACTTCATATTAAGGTGGATAATTGGCATAGGCAGACTAAAAACACCATTTGAAAGTAGCTCAGAATGTTACTGAAGCTTTTGCTTAATAACATTGGCTTTATTATTAATAGAAATACTGATTTGAGATGATAGAGTTATGAAGTTCTTTGATATATATAGTTGTTATTTAATAAAGATTAATTTTGTCACTACTAATGATTATGTAGTAGCAGATCAGTAACTCAGTAACTGGGATCTGTCATCCTTGGCAGGAAATAGAGATCTAATAATTCTGGAACTCTTGTTGGGCTGAAGGTGGTAATGTGTACACATGTGTGGATGTTTTAAGAAAAACGGGCTAGAAAGGAAAAACATTCAGTATTTATTTTGTGAGATAATTTATGAATCCAAAGTAAACTTTTTAGTTTTAGAGCATTAAAATATGTATGTATAAGTTGGTTTGCTTACACACTTAATCTGTTTGCCGTAAGTAGAGAGAAATAAAAACAGAGGTGTGGGTAAGTTAGCTATGTTGTTTCCTTTGACTACACCCTGCTCCTTTCTTCTTTATTCTCCTCTCCTTGGAAATTAAAATCGTTTGACTAATAGTTTGTAGTCCTGGTTCTGGCATTACCATCTGTATTAATCAGCGTTCTCCAGAGAGACAGAATGTGTGTATATTAGAGAGAGTGAGATTTCTTTTAAGCAGTTCCCTCAGGCAGTTGTGGAGGCCTGGTTAGTCAGAATCTGCCGGTAGGCTGGCAGGTTTGACAGACCCAAGGGAAGAGGTGTAGTTGAGTCCAAACTCAGTCTGCTGGCAGAATTCCTTCTTGTTCAGGGAGGTCAGTTTGTTTTATTAAGGCCTTCACCTGGTGGATGAGAGCCACCCACGTTATGGAGGGTAATCCCCTTAACTCAAAGTCCACCCATTTAAATTGTTAATCTCATCCAAAACCACCTTGACAGAAACATCCAGGATACTGTTTGACCAGATACGCAGGCAGTGGTCCAGCCAAGGTGACAGATAAAATAAGCACCCAATACAAGTCGGTTAGCCAAGACGCCTGTTAAGGTGATGTGAGAAAAGGCATTGCTGGGTCACATCGTCCATCCGCCCCACCCCACCCCCATTATCTGCTGTTTATATAAAATAGGAGTGTTCTGTTGGCTTAAGGAATACTAAGATTTTTTTGCCAGACACCATAAAGAGAAACTAAGTGTGAAATATTATGAAAGCTTCAAATAAAGATATGTTTAAGTGACTCAGAATAAGGAAAGGTTTGAAGTCTGTTAGCCTGATTGTATTGAGTTTGGTGATTTTTTTCTGAGCCCAGTCTAGTAAAAAACTTGAAGCACCAAAATCATATTCGATACTTTTTGTGTAGAAGCTAAGTTTGATTTGGCAGTAGTGACTGAACTCTTTCCTGTGAGAGGTAGTCCTCCTGGATTGTGTTAAAGCACACGGACAGAGTGTGAGAAGTTCTCACTAACAGTGACTCCACTGTGACCTGTGTGAGGACATCCAGCCAGTTTACTCTATCTGGCTTCTTTCAGTAGAACTGATGTTTTTTTTTTTTTTTTTTTTTGGCGGTACGCGGGCCGCTCACTGTTGTGGGCTCTCCCGTTGCGGAACACAGGCTCTGGATACGCAGGCTCAGCAGCCATGGCTCACGGGCCCAGCCGCTCCGCGGCACGTGGGATCCTCCCGGACCGGGGCATGAACTCATGTCCCCTGCATCGGCAGGCGGACTCTCAACCACTGCGCCACCAGGGAAGCCCAGAACTGATTACTTTTTATAAAACTTTCTAAATTTAGGGATGGTTTTCTTGTGAAATTG